CGCCAGTAGCTGTCTTGAGCATGCCAAAAGGTTTTCTCCCAAGCTTGTTTTTGGTCACACAGCGTAATGACAAGGCAAAGATACTCAAGAACAGGTTTTATGCAATTGAGAAAACAATGTAGCCATCTTGAGAGTTTGCCTTGCATTCTTACTATATTATTATTATTATTATTATTATTATTATTATTATTATTATTATTATTATTATTATTATTATTATTATTATTATTATTATTATTATTATTATTATTATTATTATTTTATTTTATTTTATTTTATTTTATTTTATTTTATTTTATTTTATTTTTTTAAGTAACTAGGGAATGATATATTTTGGGATTTTGAAAACTAAAATATTAATGCAAAATTTTAAACATATAATTTGAATTTTAAAACTTGGATATGCTTTTCAAGTAAATATATGATAACTATCGATTTACCTTCAGCAAGGACTCACCATTTAAAGTTCGCTGAGCAGGACTTTTCTCCTTTCATTTCTTGCTTGAGGAGGCAACTTGTCCAAGAGAAATGGACGCGGACGTCGGTACTTTTACCTGCCACACCATTTTGGTTTTTCTCTGTGGTGTGGGAGTGGACATGGGAGCTACTTCCTTTGGTTTTCACACCACTTTGTTTGTTTTTGGTGGTGTGGTGGTGGTCTTTGGAGCTTCTTCCCTTGGGATTTGTTTGATTTCCTTTTGTTCCAGCCTCTTCTTGATTTCTTTGTTCTTCTTCTTGTTACTGAGGCTGTCCACCAGTTGGGGTTGAATCTCAACTTCCCTTATGCCTTGTGGATTTGGCCCATACTTGATCCTTATCATGGGGCATTGCTCCTGTCTGGGCCGGAAATCAAACTTCTCTTCTTTACCATTGATATTGAAGCGGATTTCTCCAGCTCCAACAACAATTTGTGCTCCCGCAGTGCTCAAGAAAGGTCGGCCCAGGTTGAGTGGTGATTCTTTTGTGGTTTCCATGTCGAGCACAACGAAATCGACGGGGATGAAGTATCCCCGGATTTTGACCGGAATGTCTTCGGCAATCCCTGCCGGGTAGTAGACCGATGAATCGGCCAGCTGGAGCTGCATTAGCGTTGGTGCAAGGTGCGAACCGCGCCGTCGTCAGCACCTCCGCCGCCACGCTGCCGCTGCCGGCCACGAACGCGAACACCATGTCGGCGGGTCGGTGGACGTGAACCAACGAAGTGTAAAGCTGCAGACTGTGTGTGTCAAGTCCATAAAAAGAGTAATTTGACTGTCAGTTGCTGTTATTATCTTGTTATTAGGAAGCTATCATGGACGTATATCATTCCATATGCATGGTGTCTATAGTTATTTTTCCATGGGCCTGCAGAAGAGCCATTTCTTCGTCCATGAGAGTCTGACTGACACGAGTAGAGAAAGACAAGGGATTCAGAAAATTTAAGCTTATGATAATCATCCTGGAGTACTATTTGCTGTGAATATTTATGTGACGGACGGTAGCAATAGCAACTAGCTAGGCGCGTCCAACGGTCCAAGTCTCTGGCCGTCGCTGCCATGTCGCGAATAGCATCTGCTGGCCTATGTCGCTGCCGTCCAAGTGTATTATTTTCTTTTCTTTGGGAATTAATCATTTCTACAACTAGCAGATTATCAAGGTCAGTCTCAGTGGAGTTTGGTGTCTCAATTTCCATCACTTTTGAAAACATTGTGGACTGATTTCATCTCCGGTTCATGAAATTCATTTTACTCTCACCAAACTTTGATCATCTTTCTTCATTAATATTGTATCATATCAGCATATTTGTTGAGTTAGTAGCTTATTTAATGCTTATAAAATTATTATGAAACCTCCAATGAGACTAGCAAATACCTACAAATTTTCTTCTAAAAATATTATCTATTTGTTGGTGCTCTATTTTAGAATTATTTAGATTTTATATGTTTTAAATATATAGTGAGCACAACTGCGAGCAATAAAACAATGGGAACCGAAATAAATATATTCCAAATAACTATATATAGATCATATAAAACATGTACGTAGCACTTTTAGAAAAAAAAATTGGTACTAGTTTCTTATTTTTCTAATTTCAAATAATTTGTTTATAATTTTTTATATAGTAAACTGGATTTTCATTGTTTTTATGAAATAGAAACCCACCTTTGAACCGGAAATTGGACCAAATTAGTCTCGTTTTGACGGTTGGAGGACATCCATTACTCAGTTTTGTAGTTAAAGGTTGGAAATCAAGCTACCTTACAAGTGGGATGTTGAAAAATGTACTTTGCCCAACAAATAAAGTAGATTTTTTTTACTATAACAAACATCATAGTCACAACCTACCAAACGCTGTTCCAAGGGAAAATTCCCAAAATGTGCTGATTGGAAGTACTGGAGCATGCCAAATTTCAAATTCTCCACTTGGCTACTACCTCAGTCCTAAAAAGTATACAAATTTTAGACTTTTCCTAAGTCAAACTATTTAACTAAGTTTGTAAGGAATTGAAGATTGTTAGCATTTATGATACCATATAAATATATTATAAAAATATGTTCCATGATGAATTTAATAATACATAATTGGTACAATAAATATAGTTTTTAATAAATTTAACATAATTTGACTCGAGATAAAACTACAACGTCAAGTTCTTTTGTGTGATGGGTGTATAAGGGTTGTGGTTTAGTGGTGGTGGTGCGTGTGGGGGGTGGGGGTGTTGAGAGGTTTGCCCAAAGCAACAACCTTCTGCTCTATTTGTTTGTTTCAATTCAATATGCTCTAGGTTTGATAAAAAAAACATCGTACTTGGTAGAATTTTCCACTTCACCCTACTTATGTCTTGGATCATGAAATTTAACAAATAGCTCATCAAAATTTCGTAAAGCCATGGACTTCAATGATTTATGCAACTCATCTGGTGGACTCTTTCAAATGGAAGAAACTGATCACGAACTTTTAAGACCAAATCAAACCATACTTGCTGCCAAAGGTCGCCTTAGTAATTATTGATGAATTTAATTGGACAATGGCTGGATCGTTTGAAACTAAAACCTTAAGATGCACCAGAGTCCTTTGTTGCCTCTACTAGATTTTCCCCGTGTTTTTGCCATTTGTCATCTCCCTTTGTTGCTCTATCTTTACCCTATTCATTCTAAATTTTTGTTCAATTGGCTTTATCCTAAGTCAAACTTCTCTAATTTTTTAATCAAGTTTATACAAAGATGTTATCAACTATAAAGTTCCAAATCTTGAGAAGGGCTACGATTTTCATATAAAATTTGTTGTCCATATAACTTATCTTAGAAGTTAATAATTTGCTTTGATAAGTTGTAAACTTACAAATTATTGTATGTATATATTTTGTTGATGGTTTATACCTAGAGAATTGACTGTAAACATCACTTTTCAATGATTGTTTGTAGAATAGAATGCAAATCATCAACATGTATGAACCAATTGTGGGAAATGCCTGAATTAGTATTGTTGGTTGTTAGGCTAAGTCGTTATTGTGATGGCCCTAGAGGAGCACCAGACCGTGCTTTTACATTCGAAATGGTACTTAAGGCAAAACCGTCTGTCATATATTGTTTTAATCAATTGTACATGCGAGATATAGTTGGTTGTTACCTTATCAGTGGTTAACGATGGTTTTAGAGGTGCAATAGACCACGCTTTACATTTGACATGGTACTTACATAGCAAAACCGAATGTGTTACTTATTTTGAATCGACTGTGTACATGTGAGTTTTGTACTAATGCATAGAATTCTGAAATAGGGTATTGATTAGACAAACATATATGTGGAAGTTTGATATCAGAATTATTGTGTTTACATATTTAACAAAATCAATTCAAAGACAATACAGTTGTTTCCAGTTACCAGTTGAGCTGTAATTATAAGATACTAATTAAATTACTAAGAAAGACTGTAAGGTCACAATTTACTGGAACAACTTGTAGGCCTATGAAAAACCCCAAGTTTCTCTCCAAGTGTACAGTCAGTCAGTCACACAATCGATAATATTTGTCAGAACTCCTTGCAAAAGTGCATTGATTTGTTACAAACCATAAGGAGCCAAATGCACATGGTGAGTGCCATAATCATGCAAGCTATGGAAAGATACCATTTCTTCATTTAACTTTTTTTTCACTATGTTTTGCTGTTTACAGGCACCATGTATTTATATAACTTTTATGACTTTTGCTATTTATCTATTGACAGATTTTTTATACTAAATCTATCAAATTTCTATACCTTTGATTGTGTGCTTTAGAATTTGTGCTACAACCGTCTACTAGGTCGCATATATAAAAAATCTAACAGATTTGACCACATGAAATGTATCGACAGATAACTAGACACTTCCTTTTAATTTCTTTAGATGTTGCACAACCAAATTCCTACATTCACATGTCCTCTTGGTTATATATGTCCAACACTCAATATTCCGTAGTTTTGGCCAAAAATATTTTATAGTAGCTTATGTCACTAGTAAGATTTTATCTTTTGTAGATTTTGCACATTGAAATCACCAAGGGCTAGCATCATCATTGTAAACAAAAAAATGTCACCAACATTAGAGATCTAAAAAAAGTGTACCAAATACTATTTATTTTTCTATGGGAAGCAAGGAAAACAAGTAAAATAGCACATGGCAAACGCAACCACACAGTTCCTCCAAAGAATCTTGGCAAAAATAGCCCAAATGATAGAACCCCCATTTTTAGTCTCCCTAATTTATCCAAGAAATATATATATGCAAACCAGCCCTCAAAGTCCTCCGATTTCCACTCTCTTCCCCATCCTGATCTCAAAAACATCAACCCCCCCTCTCTCTCCGCCTGCGAGCGCCACCACCACCCCATTCCGTTCGCAGGAATAAGGAAGAGAGCTCCAGGAAGAGCTCCCATCCATCGGCTTCCCCGCCCCTCCTCCCAGCGACCGCGCCTCCTCCTGGGCGTCCCCGCGGCGGTCGGGTCGCTGGGTTCGGCGCTGGTCCTGGTCCAGGCCCTCCCATGGCGTCGGCGGAGCAGGAGGCGGCGGTCGCCGCGGCCGTCGTGGAGGACGTGATGCGGCAGCAGGGCGGAGGATGCGGCAGCACAGGAGGAGGAGATACGGTTGGGTCCTGGAGGAACATCGACATTGCCTGTCGCAAGGCGGAGGAAGCTGGTGAGTCGCGGTATATTTGCTTGGTGAAAAAAAATTGCATCTTTTAATGGTAAGTACGTATTCAATTTGAGTTAAGGCTATTGCGTACATGGTAGGCTGGAATTTACTTTCTTTTTTGTGATTCAGTCATGATCTTTTAGTCGTTGCACGCTTTTAGTTTTGTTTGGGATATAAGCTTAGATTATTATGCTCAGAGTGTAATATTTACCAAGGAATAAATGCTTGTTTTTATCTTTTTTCTCTTGAAATGATATTAAACGGAATATGTTGTGCTAGTCTGCTAGAATAGGTTTTTACCCTCTTGGAGAGCTTGAATTTTGCTCGTCTCATTAATGCTAGTTTGAATTATGAATCCGTTAGAATTTCATCTCACATTAGCTGGCTTAGCTTCATACTTCATAATTTAATCAGACTTGGCTCAATAAAAGTGACAAGATGGAGAGGGATTAAGTTTTGTGTTCATAATCATAACCCTGCACCTGCAATGCAATTCCTGCAATACAATTTCTAACAGAAGTCCTTAACTCATTTTTATAGCTAGTTGGCTTTCCTGTATGATTACTCTCTCTTAGGCATTCATAACACTAGATTTAGCTGCAATGATTCCTTATTCTTTGCTATGCGCCTTTGTTCCTTGTCACTCTTGACCATATAAAACAGGGCAAGGGCCAACAACCTAACTGTTGTTTATATGTAGTTACTTTTTTTTATCATCGTGGTTGTCATGACAAAAAGGGGGCCTTAATAAGGGTCCACCTCCAAACCTGCCTGCATAGAATACCTTTATTTTTTGTTTAAGAATGTGATGACTGCTGATCCACTGTTCCACTTAAGTTCTAAACAACGCCAATCTTGTAATCGAGTTCTTTACATACTGTCATTCGGCTTCTAACACAGATTTACACTTAAGTGATACAGCACTTGTTTAAAAAATTGGTATGGTCTATTTTTGTATCTTTGGATATAAACACCTATTGCCATTTGTTGTTAGCAACTTAGCGTAATCAGGGTCATTTGAATTGGTGCTTCCTTTGGTTTGAGAAATGCAGCAATAAGAAGGTATGAGGCAGCCAACTGGTTGCGAAGGATAGTTGGGGTAGTGTGTGCGAAGGACCTTGCAGAAGAGCCTTCCGAGGAGGAATTCCGTGTTGGCCTGAGAAATGGCATTATTCTCTGCAATGCACTCAATAAGATTCAACCTGGTGCGGTGCCCAAGGTTGCATTTCTCTCCTTCAGATATGTAGAATTTCATTTTCTACTGTGATTTTACATGCTAAGGATGACACTTTTAGGTTGTGGAGGTGCCATCGGATTCTACTGTCCCTGCCGATGGTACAGCTCTCTGTGCATATCAGTACTTTGAGAATGTGAGGAATTTCCTCATTGGCCTGCAAGATTTAGGTCTTCCAACATTTGAGGCATCAGACCTGGAAAAGGTTACACTATTGCCTGGTTTATTTACTTTTACTTTGAATGATCGACACGTTTTTATTAACTCCACAATTTTGGTACTATTTAGTGGATTACTCCCTGATTAATAAGGAGTGCTGCTGTAAAAATACTATTAACTAATTTTATTTATATTAGCCATCCCAATTTTATATATTCACTTGCCATCAACCTCAGGGTGGACAAGGTGTTCGAGTTGTAGACTGTGTTCTTGCTCTGAAGTTATTTTGTGATGCTAAGCAAGTGGGAAAACAATCTCCATTCAAATATGGTGGCATTGTAAAGCCTTTGTCTGGAAAGTATGTCATTCGCAGGAATAATGAACCTTTTACGAAGGTGATGATGAGGAGTCACTCAGCTGAATTACTCCGAGATGGCATATCACTGGAGCAAATAGGTCTTGATTTTTCCCTAGAACCCACTGAAACAGTAAGAATCCATCACCTAGTTCTTCTTTCACATTATGTAACACTCTTTTTAATTTGCGGTGATACTCATCTTCTTGGTTGTAGACTACTCCAGACTCCATCCGGATGCTTGTTCAAACAGTTCTCTCAGATAAGAAACCAGATGAAATTCCATCAGTGAGCCTACTGTGTAGCTAGCTGTTTATGCAATGTTGTTGAGAGAATAAATATTCATATTGAATCTGTTAATTTTCAGGTTGTAGAATCACTCCTGAGCAAAGTAATTAATGAATTTGAGCGCCGTGCTGCAAGCCAGAGTGAATTGGTATATTCAGTTCTCTTACCAGCCTCACAATTCCTGCTGTGTTTTTAGTTTTGACTAAACCAACCATATCACAGTTGGACTAACAGAGATTATGGAACAGGTGAAAGACACTATGGATACCAATGACCGTAACTCAGTTTTGAGAATGGACTCTCCGTTTGACACCAATGATAGTAAGTCATTATCCAGAGTGGACTCTCCACAAGTGGAGTCTACTTCCTGCAGTGATCTGGAGAAGGTATCCACTTTTTGTTAATACATCAATAACTGAATGTTCTTAATTTGGTGCAAGTAAATATTTGCTACTCCTTCGGTCCCAAAATGTAATATATTTAATTTTCTCCTGAGACAGACATCTCTAACTTTGACCAAATGTATAGAAAATACATTAATATCTAGAGTACCAAATAAATACACTATCAAGACATTTTATGATGGTCAAAATGAAACTAATTTGATATTGTAGATTTTTTTAGATAAGATTTGATATTGTAGATGTTGGTGTATTTTTATATAAATTTGGTCAGAGCTAAATAAGTTTGATTCAAGAGAAAACAATTGTTTTGGAATGGAAGGAGTATTATAGACTATTCATCTAGACATGTCAGATTTTTAATTTGTTCATTCTGGATGAAATTGGTCCGTGCACTAATATTTCTCATTAGGCCACTGAAAATATGAAGATGGATGAAGATAAGCTGAATGCATTGAGTGTGACGGAAGATGTAAGCACATTAGTACCTGTACCACGAAGCAATGATAATGTAAATAAAAATACGCCAAAGCCAGTGAGAAATTTTGATAAAGAACAGAAACAGATCCAGGTATTTCAAATGCTTTGTGTTCTTCAGTGAATCTGGTTGTATTTTCCACTATTATTCTGTGACTATTGAGACTGACTGTAGGATTTGAAAAGTAACATGTCCACTGTTAAGTCTTGCATGGAGCAGTTAAAACTGCTATACTCTGAAGACCTTAAAAAGCTTGGTATATTGCGTGCTGAACTTTGGACATCTGTAATCATTAAACTTTTTTCTTCCAAAGTTTTGGTGTTCATCATCATATTGTGTTATATTAGGTGATCATTTGCGTATTGTTTCTCACGCGGCTTCTGGATACCGTAAGGTTGTTGAGGAAAACCGCAAGCTTTACAACCAAATACAAGACCTTAGAGGTATATTTTCAGTCTTATGTACTAGAAACATGAGGACTATATACTCATGTTTCTTGATTTTAATGCGACAAGCATGCTGAAAAATCTCTTTTCTTCTTTGTCACAAGGAAATATCAGAGTTTATTGTCGAGTGAGACCTTTCCTTCCTGGAAAAGTAAGTTCCTCGAGCAGTGTTGCTGGAATAGAAGATAGAACCATCACACTTATGGTACCATCAAAATATGGAAAAGATGCAAAGAAGTCTTTTACTTTCAACAGTGTCTTTGGTCCCCTGGCCACACAAGGTTAAACGCACAAGTTGCTCCACTGAATTATTTGTTTGAAATTAGACCTTTTTTTAGTTAAGTGACAAAGTCTTTCAATTAGTGCAGAGGAGGTCTTTACAGACATGCAACCTTTGGTCCGTTCTGTTCTTGATGGCTTCAATGTTTGTATATTTGCATATGGTCAAACTGGATCGGGAAAGACCTTTACAATGGTGTTTGACCTGTCAACTGTTACTTTTTACATGAGTATTGATATTGCTTGCAATATGAAAACATTGTTTTCTGGCTGCTGCAGAGTGGTCCCAAAATTTTGACAGAAGAAGGGCTCGGTGTCAACTACAGAGCACTAAATGATCTATTCAGTATCCAGGAGCTGAGGAAAGATACAATTTGTTATGAAATTGCTGTACAGATGATGGAGATCTACAACGAGCAAGTGAGAGATCTCCTTCAGAATGGTGGAAACAAAAAATATCCTTTCATACTGAGCTTGATATTAATCCTGCTCTCAGATATCTTAACTATTTTTTTTTTTTTTGCATATATTGAACATCTATCTTATTTATGATATTGGACCTCCTTAACACGAAGAAACATTGGAAATTCGAAATAATTCTCAAAAAGGAATTGCAGTTCCAGATGCAAATGTGGTTCCAGTCACATCGACCTCTGATGTAATTGACTTGATGAATCTTGGCCAAAAGAATCGTGCAGTTTGCTCAACTGCCATGAATGACCGAAGTAGTCGCTCCCATAGGTTTGTTTGTTGCTTTTGCATTAGTGCCTCCAGTTCCAGGCATGATGTTGAACTTGGTGTTTTTAGCTGATGTTTGATACCAATTACAGCTGTCTGACTGTTCATGTTCAAGGGCGAGATTTATCATCTGGAACAGTCCTAAGAGGTTGCATGCATCTTGTGGATCTAGCTGGGAGTGAAAGAGTTGATAAATCTGAAGTGGTAGGAGATAGATTAAAGGAGGCACAGCACATAAACAAGTCACTGGCTGCACTAGGCGATGTAATTGCAGCCCTAGCCCAGAAAAGCACACATGTTCCTTACAGAAATAGTAAACTTACTCAACTATTACAAGACTCACTTGGTAACTATCCAAAGCTCCATATCCTTGGTTTGCAACTTGTCAGCACCAAAAATATGTGTTGTAAGTATTTTGTTTCTATTTTTCAGGAGGACAAGCGAAGACATTGATGTTTATTCACATAGCTCCAGAACCAGATGCTGTTAGTGAGTCCATAAGTACTTTGAAGTTTGCCGAGCGTGTTGCCACTATTGAGCTTGGAGCAGCCAAATCAAACAAGGAAGGAGGAGAGGTCAGAGAGCTCAAAGAACAGGTTTATCTATGAACTCTGCTTCATGGCTTTCTTGAGTTCACAGGGCTTGTGACCAATATCTTCTATGAAATTGTGCCTCATTACTTTCTTACTGCAGATTGCTTGCCTCAGGGCAGCATTAGCTAGGAAAGATGGAGATCATGAGAGCATACTAAGCACTCAATCAAGTCCAGACATATATAGAATGAGAACAGGTAATGCATCACCTGCATCGAGGCACCCAATAGAAGATGGAAGTATAGAGGTATTCCTTTTTTTTAGCCAAAATTTATGATATGGTCTTTTCCTTGAACACAATTTGAATTGATCCATATTCATGGTTTGATACTTGTAAATTGTAATGGTGTTCAGAACGACTCAGCATTGGGAGATTTGGCTGAGCACTCACAGTTCGGGAGCAGCAATTCCCTGCCAGAGTTGGGACCTGATGGCACACAAGATCTTGCCTTCTACCAAAGAAGCAGCCCTGAACAGCAATGGAGCTGGTCTGGGTCTGTTGGAACAGAGGATTCCGATGATTTCGAGGTTGCAACTAATTGTTCGTCAGAGCTAGATTGTGTGAGACCATCTAGTGCCCCAAAAGCTTCAGGTTTAACAAATGGAGGGGGCTCAGCTGCAAGAAAGACCCAACTCAAAGGTGCAAAAAGTTCAGACCTTAGGTAATCATCTACTCTAATTTATATCTTTATATTATGCTAGAAGGTAACTAGCAAATGCTAAGATCAACTATTCTGAACTATGCTGTTTTATTTTTAATTACTTTAGAGTGAATCCTGCAAAAAGGTCATCGCCATTACAGAAAAAGCTGAGTGCACCCTCACCAACGCTAATCAAGAAGAGCGGTGCTGAAGGAAAGAAAACTCCAAATGGTAAAACAGGAACCAAGAAGTAAGCAATCCAGATGAAACTTGGTTTCGTTGTGACCAACTTCACCATGGTCAGGGACAGATAAACATGTTGATCCTACTGGGTGATACATTGATGTTTGACAGATGAATATGTCAGTCCTTTTGTGAGAGGTTGCTGGATCTTCAGCCATATGCTGTAAATTACTCGTTCATTTTTGCTGTAGTACACATAGAAAAGGCCAGAAAAACCTCGAGATGGGAAGAAAATCATGACCACAAGGATATTTTAACCTTCTTCCTAATGTGCATATCTATCAAAGTTTTGTAAATTTTGATATGATGTATTCATGAGTCATGTCCAACCCTGTTATTGGTTGCTTGTAAATTTTTGTGGTCTTATTTTTGGTTTACATAACCACAAATACTATGTTAATAACAAGCCAAAAGAATGAAGATGCTAAGCATACATGACCTCACAAAAGAGGATAATCCATTGTGGGCGTAGCGGACAGTATCAATGGAACAAACGGGAGCTAAAAGTTTAACACCCAAATGTAAACGGATCAACAAAATTAGGAACTTTGGGAGATTTCTTTGAAAGTTTTGAATGTTCAGAAGTTTGGTTCGGAACTTCCCGACCAAAGTTTGAAAGTTTGAATTTGCACAGACCATGAACTCGAAAGACACATATTCAGAGTCATTTCTTGACATTTTGAGCTGAAGTTTAGCATGTGACTTATACACAAAGCACTTGCAACAACTAGCTAGACAATCTTTCAATTCCCATCACTAAATCAGCAACACAACAATATGCCATATAACTTGAGAAAACTCATTCAATCTTCAACAAATGGCGCCAATACCATGCCTGATGGAAAATCAATCAACTCATATTGCAAGAGGAATACTGAATCACAACTACACAAGATTTACATTGAATCACCTTACGAGGGCTGGCGGTGACAAGCTAGCAATCCACTCGAAGATGAAAATACAAGAGGTGGGAGCCAACAAGGATGGTGGAGGCTCCAAATCCCCACAAATTTCACTCTCTAGTGGATGGATTTGCACTACTACAGAAAGTTCATCACCGCCGGTTCCAGACCCCCCTTCACCAACGGTTTTGACCCTCGGCAGTAAAGTCAGGTGTTGATGACCTTGGTCATTACTACCGGTTTCCATCCAGCGGTGATGAAAAAATACCACCACCGGTTCGTGTCACCAGCCGGTGGTGATTAGTGTTTTCAGAAATTCCAAAATCGGGTCAAAAAAAGCAAAAAAATTGATTTAATCCCGGGAAGGCCCCACCAGCCAGCCGCACGGTCATGCGTCACAAGTCACAAGCTACACGGTGCTGGGTTTCGAACCTGAGACCTGTGTCCTCGCGTGTAACTCCTCTAACCACTCCACCCCTAAGTCACTTATGTCCATAAATCATGTATATTCCTTTAGTATTAACTCCTCAGGATTTTAAAATGAATATTTAGAACCCTAAACGACTTCAGATTGTAACACCCTAAAATTTGCTTCTCTTGAAATAGAGCTAAAATAATTTAATTTTGTATTTTTGTGCTAATGAAAACATAGGGAAATAATAATTTTTTGTTAAATTAAAATTTATCTTAAGGTAGAAACATGTTTGTTGCATTCATGCGGGTCGCACCTTATGTTTCTATGTGCAAAATATTTTTTTAAATAAGTTTAGGAGACGAATAACTATCTTCAAGAATTTTCTAGCTTCTTTCTGGAATTAAATTTCTACCTCCTTGACCTTAATCTTTATGTTTCCCAACAATCTTTTCTTGAGCTCCAAATATTTTGTCTGAGTTCCTCGTCTTTCAATTTATCTCTAGGATTTTTCCAGCTATTTTTCTAAGCTTCAAAGCATTTTTCGTGATATAAATGGTAATTCTAGACTTTCTAGAATTATTTTTATTTCATGATATTAATTAATTTCTAAATTAGAAAAATCCGAGCCTAATTTTCCACCAACTCTCAAAGGCCCATGCCTTTATTTAGTAATGGGTTTAAATAATTATTTAGGCCTATTAGTGGAGGTGGATGGTGCAACATAAATTAGTATCATATTGCTAGTTGATGTAGATGTGGAGAGTTTTTCTCCCTATATATATGTAACAACCCTTTGGGCAAAACACACCAAAATTACTATAAGGGGAGCCCCTAGTTTGGAAAATCCCTCTTGCCGACATCCGCCGGTCCGCCGCTGTCCCAACCTGTTCCCCTCCTGCTAGCCAGGGCCCTACCCCACTGATCAGCCATGGCATGGAGGCCCTCGCGTTCCGTACGTCATGTACAAGGTTGAAGACCAAGTAATTATGAGTTTGCCACTGGTTCATATTATCTCCGCCGTTTCTTCGTTTTAATTCCGATTCGATTCGTTCATGTTGCGTTAGATTCATGATGATGTGCTCTACACAGAAATGCTAATGCTTTTTATGTCACATGTTCCATATATAGTTAAATATTAAAATGATTTAATATTAATGCAACTAGTTTTATAATTAAAATCAATATAGGTTTTCTACTGCGTTGTTTTATATACAAATATTAATATGATTATCAATTGCTATTATAAATATGATTTTCAATTATAAAATTTCTTAGCTTAAACACGCATCATGTACAGTCACCCTGGGCCCTTTTTCACCGAAAACCGAACACCGAACCGAACCGAACCGAATAGTCGGTAGTTCGGTTTTTCGGTTCAGTTTCGGTTTTGGATCCTGGGAACTTCGGTGTTCGGTTGAGGAGTCAGTTTCTGACCTGAATAGAACCGAACTACCGCAGAACCGAAGTCAGGCTTGCAGCAATCTTCGTCTGACCGTCTCCTCTTCCCCAATGTTTGATGGCCGATGCAGCCCACCAAGGCCCACGACGTACCTATCTAGGCAGGCTCGTGAGGCCTTAGCCCTCTCCCTCTCGCAGTCTCCCCTCTCCCGTGACCCGTCTGACTCCCTCTGGCCTCTCTCCCTCTCCCATCCGACTCCCCATCCCAAACCCTAAATCCAGCCAGCGGCGGCGCGACTGCGAGGTGTTCTAGCGAGCACAGAAGCGGCGGTGGGCGAGGCGAGGTGTGGACAAGTGACTACTATGAGCTGTGGCGGCACGGGCGCGGCACGAGGCGAAGGCGTGCTCGATGGCTGCTGGCTTGGCTGGCTGGCTGCTCCACTGGCTGACGGAGAGGCAACGGCGGTGGCGGCGTCGCTGGATGCGAAAGCGGCGACTGACGGCGGCTGTCTGAGTGGAAGGGAGGAGTGGCGCATCTGCTACTCTGTGAAGCTCGCGCGTTGCGGATCGCAGAGTGGCTGAGGGTGGAGGTAGGCTCGGCTTTCTCGGTTTAAACCGAAAAACCGAAGTAAGAAACCGAAACCGAAATGGGCGGTGTTGCATTCTCTAATTAACCGATTGGCTTCTCATTCTTAAAAACCGAACTTTTGTGAAACCGAATAAACCGAACCGAATTGTCGGTTTAAACCGAATGCCCAGCCTGAATGTACAGCTTGTTTAGATGTTCTCACATACTTATTTATTTTGCAAAGTTAAAGTTTAACTTGCTTAATAAATTACGTGATAATATTTATAAGATAAAATATGGTTAGCTTCAACTCGATTTTATGTATAAATATGATTTGTTTAAACTGAATTAATGACTCTTCCATGTTTTTATTTAACTAAAATAAATCAAGCTTGTAGTTGTAGGCTTTTTCTTTTATATTATATAAAACTCTCAGTAGTCGCAACCGTAGCTCCGTTTTGGCGTCTCTTGCGTTCTCATGACCATAGCAACTAGCTCTCTTTTAGTATGTTGTTTTATCTCGTGTGGTGTACTGCTCTTAGTTGTCTTCTTGTATGTGTGTTTGCTGTGCTACGATCTATGAGTAGAAGAAGAGCTGTCCGAAATAGTTGGAGACTGAAAGACTAGAAGATCGAAGGTTCAACAATGAGTTGATCATTAGTTGTAAAGCAACTGAAAGGCAAGTATAGTATGGGATCATCCTTGTTGTCCTATTCACCTTTAATTATTTAATTCATATTGCATGTGTCTACCTTGTTACCATTAAGGATATCCTAGTCTTTTGTATCATGTACCTTATTACCTATGGGTTTATGTATTGGGTAGTATGATGCTAGCGCTCAATTAAAGACCATGATCTTGTAACTTGACTAATGGAATATGCAATAAACACTAAAAGATGCTTTTTAGCAACAACGAACAAGAGGGTTAGAGCATAGTTTTTGCGATGCTCGAGATTTCTCTCTCTAAGGACTTATATGTAAGTGGTCAACCGGGACTTACAATACAACCATGAGTGCTACATGGCTCTGGTTTTAGTCAAGTATGAGGACCTTTTCTAGCTCGTAGTAGCTTACCGAAAGGCGCAAGAGGGGCTCCAATTAGTTTGATCTCGCGGCCTACCAAGGGAGTGTACTTTGTTTTCTATGTCTTTTTGTTAGTCACACCTTGGGGGAGGGATCTTACTGGTTGATGGGGAATCCTTAGTGAGCTACACTTATGAGACGAACCTTTGAAAGGCTTCATAGTGAACCCTGCCGATCTTTCTTGAAAGTGGGTCAAAAGGTTGGCCGTCTCGGACGAAAGGGTAAATCATGGCTCATGGTGAAACTGTACAACCTCTGTAGAGTGTAAAACTGGTATATCAGCCATGCTCACGGTCACGAGCGGCCTTGGAACATTTAGGGAATAGATTATCACTATTGATTAATTGTTTATACTATTCATTATTCATGTTTACCTGATCATGTGTTTATATGGACTTGTGATAAACTTGTTGCTACTCAATTGCTAAAATCATAACTCACTAAAAGCTAATTGCAGTAAACCCGTGTCAACCTTTTGAGCCTCATGAACCCATGTTATATTTGTTGAGTATGACATGTACTTACGCTTGCTTTACTTTTCAATTATTTGGATAAAAATCCCAGATGGGTACCAGATTGCTAGAGTTTGAAGAAGTTAGGCTCGTGATCAACCAGTCAGTTGTCCCTGTGGTTTTGGAGCCTTCGCTTGAAGATCGGAGTTGTCGTTCCATTGTCTGCTATCTAAGGATATATTCTTTGTATTAATACGCTGTCTAATTAAGCATTATGATTTGATATTACCCTTATTTGTAGTTATATGTGAGATTTGACTTCTTGGGCTCACATATGATGTGTATCTGATTTTGTTCTTAAAATTGGGTGCGACACAAATAAAAAAGTCATCAACTACACAGTTGTTGTTCTGATCGGGATCTACAACTTTGATGTTGGTGGTTTCGCCATCCGCGATCATTTGATAAATTTGAATTTCAAATCGTTAAAACTTCAGCCATACCGTTGGACCTCAAATGATTTAAATGTAAAAGTCATTTACTACAAAATTGTAGTTCCAATCAAGATCTATAACTTTGGTTTTGGTCGATTTTTCATCAAAGATCGTTTGAAAATTTTGAATTTGAAAATTTATGAACTTCAAATACAAATTTGAGACCATATATGGTTTATAATGAAAAAATTGTCAAGTACAAAGTTGTAGATCACATCTAGATCTACAACTTTTATTTTGGTCATTTTCCATCTGAGGTCATTTGTACAATTCAAAATAATTGAATGTCAAAATTTGAGAGCTTCGGACAAATTTTTTTAGACAAGAAGGTTTCCCCTGCTTTATTACGCATAAAGCGATCAAAAACATCCAGGTTCACAGTTCAAGCATATGCGCGCCCGCAGAACAGACCTTAAAGGCCAACCAAATTACAAACTTAATCAAACTCAGGATTAACAGTCATTCTCTGATCTCATGCCGATGGTAGACTCAGATCTCGTCGCAGCTGTAGAGACCAGTTCCAAAGCTTGGGTAGTCAATCGACCCGAACCTGATATTAGTGAACTTCTGGCATCCTCCCAGCAAAGCTCCAAAGGTTGTCCCGCCTGATGCCCCAGTTGTAAGATTACCGCCTCCACTTGTTCTCCAACCTCCATCTTGAACATAGGCAGCCATCTTCGTAGCGTCTTGGCTATCCACACCAGTACCTGCTTCTCGCTTATCCAAACTCTTCCCTGAAAACACATATCATTTCGAAGTTTCCATAAGCACCACATCACCGCTGCACAAATGGTGTTGTTAACAGTATGGCGCTTGTTAGCAAGCCAGCGGGATGCCAAAATTTCATAACTGCAAACCTCAGGTAGATTCAAGATGGACAGTACAACACGCCATAACCGTTTGGCAACAGAACAATGAAAGAAGAGGTGGTCAACCGACTCTCTTTCAGTGCAAAAAAGACAAGTTTGATCTGCCAATTCTCTTCGTTTAGCCAAATTGTCTCTAGTCAAGATTCTATTTTTAGATAGAAGCCACAAAAACATTTGGACTCCAGGTGGAATCTGCAATTTCCAGACTATATGAACATAGACCGGGGTTATCCCCTTATGATTAATTACTGCATATAAGGACTGCACTGAATAGTTGCCACTGGAGCTATAGCTCTACATAATTTGATCCTCATCCTCCAGTACAACTACATCCTCTACTATTTCTTTCAGAGACAGTTCTCCTAAAAGAGAGCTTCAAAGTTTCTCCATTCCACACCTCTGCTATTGTCTTACCATGCTATTCATGAATAATGTATAGAGGCCAAAATTGTGTAGCCAAACTTGAATTACCAAACCAAATATCCTTCCAGAACCGAATTTTGTGCCCATTCCCAATTGTCCACCTAATACCCATCTTAGCAGCCTTAATGGCCCAGAGAACCCCTCTCCAAAAGGGGGAAACATTTAAATCTGGACAGCACAGAAGGTTTGGTTTCTCAGTCTTGTACTTATAGTCAACTATTTGCCTCCAAATGGGACTGGAATCCAGATGATATCTAAAGATCCAGGAACTCAATAGACACAGATTTAGATTTATTAAATCTGGGACACCAAGGACCCCTATTTCTTTTCTTTGTGCTACAAGTTGCCAATTAGCCAAATGATACTTATGATTAGTTTCACTGTTATTCCATAGAAAATGGGCCATCTGAGAGTTAGTTACCTCAATAGCCCATTTAGGAAATTTTATAATGGATAAAAGGTAAATGGGTATACTAGCCAAACAAGCCTTAAGCAAGGTCAGTCTACCAGCATAGGACAACAATCTACCCCGCCATCCAGCAATCCTTTTAATAATCTTGTCTACTACAGGTTGCAAATCCTCTCTTCTGAGTTTGGTACAGTGCAAAGGCACCCCTAGATACTTAATAGGGAAATCACTCCTTACAACAAAAAAATTTTGCAAAGCAATTTGCTTCCTCCTCTTCTAGCCTTATAGTAAGTAGATCACTCTTATCATAGTTAATTCTCATGCCAGACATAAACTCATAACAGTTCAAAATCCATTTCTGATTGTTAGCTTTCTCTACATCATTCTCAAAGAACAATAAAGTGTCGTCTGCATATTGCAGGCTAATAATTCCTCCAATAGTAACCTGTGGTAGTAAACCAGAAATCAAATTATACCTAGATGCCTTCAAAAGCATCCTAGTGAACACATCTGCAACTAGATTAAAAAGCAGAGGTGAGAGAGGGTCACCTTGTCTAAGTCCTTTCCCGGATTTAAAGTAGCTGCTATTATCATCCTTAACCCACACACAAATGGAACCACCTTTAACTAATCTCATAATCCATCCTCTCCATCTACTACCAAAACCTCTAGAGCAAAGCATATCCTCTATAAATGGCCAACTCACACGATCGTATGCTTTCTCATAGTCTAGCTTCAGGATAATCCCTTTTTCTTTATTTCTATATATGTCATGAACTATTTCGTCAGCAGCAACCACACTTTCCAAAATAAACCTACCTTTGATAAAAGCAAATTGATTATTAGTAATCAGTATGTCAACCACTTTAATGAGCCTGTTATTTATAGCTTTACCAAAAAATTTAAAACTACAGTTCAAAAGGCTGATAGGTCTAAATTTCTTAAGATTCCTGGCATCAGGCTCCTTAGGAACTAAAGTAATCATGGCATAGTTCAATCTATCCATGTTTAACTCCCCATTCTCAAAGGCCCTAACAAGGTTCATAAAATATTTCTTAATGACATCCCAAAAGTTTTGGTAGAAAAGAAAAGAGAAGCCATCAGGGCCAGGTGCTCCCTCAGCGTAGGAGCTGAAAACAGCATCTTTAATTTCTTCCACAGTGAAAGGGGCTTCTAAGAACTCATTCTCATCAACTGTCACTTTATCCTCCTCTCCCCAAAAATTTGTATCTAGCTTAACCCCATAATCCTCCTCTTGAGCAAAGAATTTCTTATAGAAACCCATAGCATGCTCTATCATAGACTCGTGGTCTGTCAAAAGACCTTCCTCACCTTCTAGACATTCAATCCTCTTTTTCCTATTTCTTTGATTTGCAATAGCTTGGAAGTAAGCTGTGTTTCGATCACCCACCTTTACACATCTATCTCTAGATCTCTGTCTTGCCTTCACTTCCTCCATGTTCCAAATGGCCTCCAAATCTCTAATAATATTATCCATCCTATCCCTCTCAGCAAGGGATAGGATACTTGTCTCTTGTTTAATGTCAAGAATATCAAACTCCTTAAGGAGATTTTGCTTTTGTTTCCTAATTTCAGCATTAATATTAATAGCCCAACCCTTCACTTTTTTCCTCAACAACCTAACCTTAAACTGCCAAATATCCAAAGGATCAGTAAAAATACATTCAGTATTCCAAACTTTTTTGACCAGATCCTTAAAATCTGGTTGTTGCAGCCACCATTTTTCAAACCTAAACATATTTGGTTTTTTCCTCTCTCCTATACCAAAATTCAGAATTAAAGGGACATGATCACTCCCCACTCTTGGTTTAGCAGAAACAAAAGCTAAAGGAAACTTTTGATCAAACTCAGCAGTACAAAAGAATTTGTCAATAGCAGCCATAATTGGTTGCTCTTGATTGTTTGACCAGGTATATGATCTACTGGAATTCTTAAGCTCAATCAAGCCAAAATTGTTTATCCAATCTTGGAAAACATCAGCCCACTTCTGATTAATAATACCATTATTTTTTCTTTAATATTAGTCACCAGATTAAAATCTCCGCCTAAAACAGTTGGACCAGACCAATTCTCTAACATCCCTTCTAACTCTTGGATAAATTCCATCTTACCTTCCTCATAAGCAGAACCATACACACAAATGAATCTCCAAATAAAATTGTCAACACAATTCTTGATCATAACAGAAATAGCATAGGTTTTCAATTGGTGAGCCAATATATCAAATTTTTTGTTATTAAACCCTACCAAAATACCACCAGTTGTTCCTATAGCAGGAAAGAACTGCCAGGCAAAGTCTCTATGTATATAGTTTAAGAAGGAATCCTCAAAAGATTCTTTTTTAATCTCCTGAAAACCCACAAAGTCCAATTTGTTCTCATTAACAAAATCAGTGATACATTGTAACCGACCCTTTTTATTGAGGCCCCTAACATTCCATATTGCACCTATCATTTTCCACATTAGATGAAGAGGGTTTACTACCCTTGTTCACAATTTCTACCCAAGAACAGTTAGCATCCCCTTATCCTTTAATAAGAGGAGAGAATTCACTACTTTTCGAAACTGCTAAAGGTGGAAAATTTTCAATATTTAAGTCCACCTCCAAATCAGCAGGGAGGTTAACCTCCAGACTCCTATCCTCAAAATTAGCTCTACAAGCTATTTCCTTATCTCTAATGCAATCAATAACATGGTTAACCGCCTCATTATTTTCTCCTAGAGATATGTTAACACAACTTGCTTTATCAGCTAATGAAGAATTGTTTTCAGAAGCAAAAGAGTGTGTAGTAATGGTACCTTTACATAAATTTTTCTGCTCTTTCAACTCCTTAGCCCTTTGTAAGACAGTCTTCCCATCCTTAGGAAATCTTCTAGGTCTATCTACCCTTTGTGTTGGCCCCCACTGCTTCTTCCTCTTGTTCATGTTTCCCTTATCTTGTACAAGTTCAGTCTCCTTATCCAGGTTGACTACTTTCTGGGAAGTGATATCCATATCCAGAGACATGAACTCAGTTTCCTCACAGCCTTCCTCTTCTGCTTCAAAGTCCTCCAGTTCCATTTGTTTCAACAGAAAAGAACATTCAGCAGTATCACTTACAGACTTAGCCAACTTCCTAAACTCTTCCCACTTAGAGTTTTGAGATTCATCCAGCATATCATGCAGAGCTCTGTTCCCCACAATATGACAGTCAGATCCCCTCTGCATCATTTCATCAGCAGTTTTCCAACAGTCAAAATTGTTGCACCCTTCTAGATTGATAAGACCTATGTCAACACAGTGAATAGCACCACCTATAGGCTCTATTGGCTTAAGCCTTTCCCCCAGTAAGCTTGTATCAACCCTCTGTTCAGCTGGCTGGAATACTAAACTAGTAGATTCAGCAATTTCTCTTCCCACATTAGTCAACTTGTCCTTTGCAGATAATACCAAAGGACTCATATGCTGCAACAGCATTTTGTCCTGTTGCATAACATCCAGAATCTCTATCCCAACATTACATGTCTTGTAACCAGAGGTGTGGCTCGGCTTAGTGCTTGGGGCTGGAGTCTTAAAGCTACTACTGTCTCCCAGGGTTGGCTGCTTATCCTTCTCTATTGTGCCCATCATTACCCCCATCATCTCCATTGTCAGTAGCAATTCCTTTCCCCTTGTTATCATCAGTCTCAACCTCAAAGTCCACTAAATGCAGCTTCTTGTTCATCTCATATAATCTCCCATGAGGGATCTTAGAAGCCTCTCTGTAAGCCACCTTGATCCTTACAGTCTCATAGAATGTTTTAAACACAGTTGCCCAATCCACATCAACCAATAAACCAAATCCCGAAGCAACTTGGGCAAAGACCTTCCAATGACACCACCTAGGAGGTATACCCTCAACTGGACCCAGACCTCTTGCAACTCCCCATATGGTTTCAAGTCACCAATCCATTCAAGCACCTCAACTTGCACCCCATCTTTTCTAAGATTGAAGGAGGGGTAATTCTTGATGTCAGAGACCTTTTTGTGAGGAGGAAACCTCATCAGAAACATTCCCTCTTCCAATTCCCTAATCTGCCAAGGCCATTCCTTGCAATATATCTCAGATAATTCCTGCTCCAATTCTGCTAGGGAAATCTGGCCAGTCTTGACTTTCACCACACCACAATTGGTTAGATTTAGCCACTAAGTTCATTCAACCGATGTCACCTCAAGGTGATAAAATCCCAAACCCAGACTAGCACTTCCAACATAGGCTGCCACAGGGTGATCAGATTTCCACATGGGACACACATTCATATGGTGGCCAGGGACAGTACAGATGAAACATATCTTCGGTCTAGTGAAGTTTCCTACAAAGTGACCTGGTTCTCCACAATTGTAACAGGTCAGATTACGATACCTTGGATCAATGCTGAAAGGAGGGAGTTCAGACTCCTAATTGCCCTGTCCTCTGCCTTGAGTAGCACCCCGCTTAGCTTGTTGTCGTGGTTGTTGAGGAGGTGGTTGCTGCCGCTGCTGAGGCTGGGGCTGTGGTTGCTGCCGCTGTTGATACTAAGGTTGAGGTTGGGGAGGTGGAATGGGATTGGGATTATACGGTTGGTTCCTCCACCCTTGATCCACCCAGCCCTACAGTGGTTGGGGAGGATACCTCGGTGGCGACGGTCGGGGAGGGCATTGCTGAACTGGTCGACGCGGCTCCGGTTGCCAAACCCAGCGCCCGCCCTCTGCCATGGAATCCCGCTAGAGCACCGCAGAGTACGAATCCTTCTCCCCACCTCTGCCCCAGATGTCCTTCGCGAAACTGAGCTTCATCAGTGGACCATCAAATCGATCAGACCTCCGAACAGGAAAGCAATCCTCCGGTGAGATCTTCTTTGAGCGGACCAACTCCTTCCGGATCCAGAAGAGGTTCCAAGGATTAAAAGTTGCGGTGGCGTCAGAGGCTAATGGAACCCTAGAACGCGGAGGTGGGGAATTGATAACCCACAACTGACCGAAAAACTCTACCAGCTCCTCTTCGTCCTCCACCAACCGCGCCTGCACCTGGGCTCCACGCTTGATTCCCCTGACGGGTGGGGAAGGGAGAGTCCCCTTCCTCTGGCGGATGGACCCAGCGGAAGGCTGGGGGCACGTAGTCAGCCAGGGAGGGTGCGGCCATGGAGGCGGATCAAGGTCGCCCTGGTCGCCCTCGAGCAGAATATTCCCTAAGGAAGACGCCATACTGCTGGCTCCCACTTCTCTCCCTTTATTTCAAACAGAATTTTGGGTGAGTAAATGATTTCAAACAAAAAAGTTATCAACTATAAAGTTGTAGATATATAAATTTTGTTTTAACTCGACTTTGTTTGAAAAAGTTATGAATTTTATTGTGCTGCAACATAAGTCAAACCGCCTTTTCATAATACCAAACAGCGGTGAAGATGAATCGACCAGCACCAACGGTTCGTAACACAAACCGACGATAGTGATAGGTTATCACAACCGGTTGGTGTTACAAACCGTTGGTGATAATCACCCCCATTTTCACGGACGGTTCGTAACACGAACCGGCGGTGATAATCATTTACCAAGGTTCGTAATACGAACCAACAGTGATGAGTATCACCGCTGATTTTGAGCAAACCTATAGTGAAAATGGCGGCAGTGATCATCAATTATGTAGTAGTGTTGGTATACCATGAGAAGGGGAGCTTGGGCTCCTCATTTGGGCTGGTTTACTCACCTTGCAAATGGTACCTCAAAGTTGAAGAATATTACAAACGAGCCCGTATACACCTAACCAAATATATAAGCATCATTTTGCATATAATGTAATTCCTCAAATGAACCTCAAATAGTGTCAGCTGCAACATCACAATTATTCACCTCAACGATGATTGAACCATAGAGTAAACAAATATTCTTGATGTCGAACGTCCAATATTCAAATCATTCATCTTCAAATGAACAATCAACAAGTGCACATTCGTTGCCTCCAACATGTAGGTAGCTAGGTTTGACATGGAAAACGGTTGAGCCACAAACAAGTGCATCAATGAACTCTTACGAATGAAATATATGCCCAACACACCCATGACCTTGATGACAAATGCACAATCTCCAACTCTAAGTCAAATGCATAAACAAAACCTCCAATAAATGTTTCACATGAAGCCGCCAAATCGAGTAGGCAAGAAAGGTAGGAAGTCCCAAGCACATATTAACAAATTAGATGAACAAAACTGAGTCTTCAACAAATTCTAGCCCTAGGAAATGTCTAAGAACATGTGCAATTGACCTTCTAAACCAAATCTAAGCAAATTCCTTGATCACCAAAGAATATGCCAATAACAGTGAATGCAAATCCATACTTTCCAAATGTGCTCCACCTAAAACACATAACTCCTCCACCAACACTCACTAAATGAGCAACTTGCACATGTGAACACCAGTATGTGCACCAAACCACTGATTAATGAAAGAGATGACATTTACAGCTGCTCTTGCAAGGACAACCGTCTTAGTGAAAGGAACTATCAAATGTGTATCCAATAGAGTACCAACAAATTCTACACAAGATCTCACACAAGCAAGGGCAACCACATTATACTGCCATACACAATACCAAACGTTGACCTCAAATTAGACTTAATGATCCATGTAGAGAACAAACTCCACGCTTCACCAGGTGCCAAGCCTATGGTGTGTCCACTAAGTTTGGGCCTCGAATTTTGCTTAGGTTTCAGATCTAGTCTTCTCATGTTCTGTCACCATTCTCTTCTCGTGACTTCTATTCACGCTGCCATGGCCTGCCGCTACCCAGACCATGACCCAAGAATCTTCCCCTGCCCCTACTAGCATACATGCCGGTAACAGCGCCCACCTACTAGTGCCTACTACCCCGTCTTAGAAATAATCCACGAGCACTATTTAGTCTATTGCATTACATGATGGCATGCAATGGTTGAGTCAAAGTGAAGTAATGGTGTATGGTTAAGACCGAGTCTAGAGTTGGAGTAGTGGTGTGCATGGCGCTGATTTGCATGGTGGAAGCCACATTGTCCGGATGAACAAGTGGCTCACGGTGTTGGTGCGCGGGTCCTACGGATCATGGTGCGAAGGTCTCCATAGAGGTGTGCTCCGTGGCATGTCCTTGTTTATAAGTAGCCCCACTGTATTCAGTTGCCAAGTTCAAGTGAACAATGTAGCCAAGATACAGGCGAGTTTGTCGCTGCAGCATTCGTAGCTAGAAAATAGTGTGTCTATTGTGCTTTTCTATCTCTCGCCATGAGCGTCGGCGTTTGTGTGTTAGAGTGGTTCCCAGGCGACACATGTGGTTCTCCCGGGTAACACTCACACGCCAACGCTCTTGGCAAGAGGTAGGAAAGCACAATAGACACACTGGCCGCGCGACAAACTCGCCTGTATCTTGGCTACATTGTTCACTTGGACTTGGCAACCGAATATAGAGGAGCACAGGGGCTACTTATAGAAAAGGACATGCCAAGGAGCACATGCGCCATGATCCATAGGACCCACACAGCAACACTGTGAGCCACTTGCTCAACAGTACGATGCGGCTTTCACCATGCAAATCGGCGCCATATGCACACCACTACTCCAACTCTAGACTCAGTCTCAACCATACACCACTACTCCAACTTTGACTCAATCATTGCATGCCATCATGCAACGCACTAGACTCCAGGAGGCACACACTACCCAAAATTAGTGCTCATGGATTACTTCTAACAATCACCCCCCTAATCCACGACACCCCGTACGGCAACGTACAGGAGTGTCGGCTCAACGTCGACGTTGGTGCCTTCCTTGCCTTGCCGTGCTTGCTTGTTTGCCCGCGCTCGGCGCTCCTTGCTGCTGCGGTGTTGACAACTTTAACACACCTCCCACTGTGAGCAGCAGACACTAGATGCCATCTGCGACCGCCTCGACTCCACTGCAACGCTCCTCCGCCGCACGCAGCATGATGACGAGTTCCACCAGTGATATGGTTGACATCTTCTCCGTCTTTGGTACCAATTTTTAGCTTCGCCCACGAACCACTTAAACACACACACACTCCAACGCTCTTGGCGAGAGGTAGAAAAGCACAATAGACACAGTGTTTTTCGGCGATGAACGCCGCGACGACAAACTATCCTGTACCTTTGGCTACATTGTTCACTTGGACTTGGCAACTAACTACAGGGGAGCATAGGGGCTACTTGACAAGGACACGCCACAAAGCACACCTCCATGGCAGCCTTAGCGCCATGATCCGTAGGACCCGCACAACAACACTGTGAGCCACTTGCTCATTCGGACGATGCGGCTTGCACCATTCAAATTGGCACCATGCTCAACACTACTCCAACTCTAGACTCAGTCTCGACCATACACCACTACTCCAACTTTGAGTCAACCATTGCATGCCATCATGCAACACACTAGACTCCAGGAAGCACCCCGCCCCTTCCCTCTGACCTGTTGGCATCTAGTTGTGGGTTTTTGCTGCTGGGTGGTCTAGGGGGTTGCTGCTCCTTTGCTGTGTGACTATTTTCTGGTGTTGTGCACCTATTGCTAGTGCTGATGACAGGAGAAGAAAAGGGAAGCATACAGAAAAGATAGAAAGGAGAAGAAAGAGTGGAGAAAGCGAAGGCAAAAGTTGCTGATTTTTGGCAAGTTTTCCTCAGATGTGTGTTGTTTTCTTGAAAGGTAACCAGCCATTACAACAATAGATGCATCAGTTTGATCTAGGGACATTAAATTGGACTAGTAGATCAATTTCAGATTGTGTGAATTAGGCTGTCTTGTTCAATGAAATTATTGGATTAATTGGTGCAAAATCTCAACATTGCTGTCTTGTTCAATGAAATTCTTGGATTAATTGGTGCAAAATCTCAACATTGCTGGAATCTCCGCAATCAGTGCGTGTTTGGTGGAATTTCGCCTAGTTTGGATGGAGTTTTAGAGTCCATCAGGGAGGAGTTATATTTCTGGTGTTTAGCTGGGGCTCGAGGGGTTTCACATCTCCTTGCCCTTCGGTCCAGCATTAATTAGTTAGTTGGTCGAGGCTGTTTGATGCTTGCAATCTTTGGCGAGTTTCTTTTTATTTTTCTTTTCCTTTTCTTTTTGTGTGTGTGATCTGAACGTTTGCTGGGGTTGTGTGTTGTTGTTTGGATTCTATACCCTTTTCTTCTTAATATATTGATACACAGATCTCCTGCATATTCAAGAAAAAAAATCTCAACATTGCTTTGAAACAAAAGTTGTAGATCTAGTTTTTATATTTCCAATGGCTCTGGTTTGACATAAATCTGGTCAGTAGTTTAGGAGCAATCGCCATAGCAGTGCAGCTGCCCTGCTAGATTTATTCTGTGCAGAAATATGTTAATTTTATTTTCGACCAAGATTATAGACATGGCGACCTGAAGAAAAGATGTCAGGAATTTTCTGTAGATGTCTAAGATGTATTTATTTGCTACGTTTGGTTTCTACTTGCTCTAGTTTAATTTTTACAAAAGCTAATTCACACTCTTGGACCACTTATTCTTTTCATACACGTTGTGACAAAACATGGCTTGCCACAGTTGTGGCAATCAATAACCAAAATTAGTTGCATAACAAACTATGGCTGACTAATGTGAGGTGTGGTAATATTTAGACGTGAACCAATCATGCCCTAAGTATCGTGTAAGGCTCCTCGATCCAACTGATCGACCAAGTTGGAGGGCTGACCCCTGACTGCCCCTTCTATTATGTACGACGCTGGTTGTTTGAGATTGTTAAGTTTTTCCATCAGCTTACTAGTACTTACTATATATGCAGTAATCAGAAATATTGGAAATCGGATTAAACAAAACTTGAACTAATGAACAAACGAAAGCACTTCAAAATCATCTCCATTGTTGTAGTTACAAGCAGACTGATTGCATAGCAGAGTTCAGTAGCACACAATGTTATAGACGAATGATGAGCAGTGGCTGCAAGTCCATTCATTCTAGGCATTCGATTTGATGTATGCTGGTTTCTTTGGGGTCAGTACCCTCTTCTCTCCATTGAGCATCAGAAGAACATCTGCCATGGTTGGACGGTCTCTCCACTCATGCTGAGCGCACAGCAGTCCTAACTTTATGCTTCTTTTTATTTCCACTAGCTGAGATTCGCCAAACAGTAATGGATCAAACTCCTTTCTTCGACCTTCAAGAGCCTTCCAAGCCTAACAGTATTAAGTATTAACA